TGTAGAATGAGTTCACTGCCACTTTTCATTGAGTTTGTCTGGAGTTTGAACATCTATATATATAAAAGCCTAAGCGACTGTTAAGACTGAATGACCGGTCACTATTACATGCACTGACCACAAGGGGGCAAGCACTCAATGCAGGAGCTGCCCCCTGGTGGTCAGTGCGCTCCCACAGCAAACCTCCCCCAGCTGCCCAACCTCCCACGGTCCCTCCCCCTGGCCCTGGGCTGGGACGGGGAACTGGGGGTGGGGGAGACGCAGCCCCTTTCCCAGGGGGGCCAAGGGCCAGCTCTCTCCTTGGGGCCGGTGGCCAACCTCCTGTGCCCTGTCCCTCCTAGCTGGCAGGTCTCAATTGGCCTGCCACCCAACCGCCGCAGTGGTGGCCTGGTGGTGAGGGAAGGAGGAGGGGGAAGGTGGGGAACCGCATGGTGGCAGCTTCGGCATCTGGCGTCTGTTCCTTCCGCGCCTGGCCCAGTGACCATCACCTCCTCTCCCGACCCCACCGGGGCCTTTGAGCACCAATCGGCCCAGCCCTGATCTCCAGTCAGGCCTAGGGACCCCACCCATGCATGAATTTCTTGCACTTGGCCTCTAGTAGGTAAAGAAGGAGCATTTAGTGGTGGTAAGGCTGGAGCATTTGTAGGTTATGCTTATCTAATGTTCTGAAGAATATAATGAAGATTATTATTAGGAAATTTTAATTTTGCATTTTTTTCTGTGATTTTCAGACCGATGCCAGTGTCAAGGCCATATTTTCAAAAGTGATGGTCATTACAAGTAAGTTACTTCAAATATTATATGTAAAATTTAAGTTTTAGTTGAAACATTTCTGGTAATTTCAAGTTTTTCATGGAGTTCCATTTTAGGATATAATAATATAGGAAAAAACTAAAAAGTTTTTGATTGATTTTTTTTGACAGCTCAGCTTTCCCTTTGTTTTTCAGACTTTTTATTTACTTTGCATACTGCATGGAAATGTTTTGTTTGTTGATACAAGCAAGAGCTCCATAAAGGACTTATATACATTTATTTTTGAGAATTAGTTCAATTTATTACATTAAAAGTGAATCTGTGCTTTGGTATTGCTTGCTTTAATGTGAATCTGTCTGAAGCTAATTTCATTTTGAGCCAAATTTATAATGAAGGATATACCTAATAATTACAAAAGGGTTTCTTTGAAAACAGTTATTAATTAGCCTTTTCGCTTTCAGTGATTTCAAAGAAAACGTTACTTAATTGCATTGAACAGTAAAGACAAAAGGATTATGTAGCATATCCTCTTGGTTCAGTGCAGGGAGAGATAATAGCAGTTGTTGCAGGGCATTTGCTTTTTCTTCCAGACCACTGTGGATCACAGAGGGACAGGGAAAATAAACACCTAGAGGAGTGCTTTTGCTGAGCTTCCACAGAGTAATAATGAAGAGAGGTTAGATGGATTTCTGAGATTTTAACAAATATTTCAAGATGTGTATGGAAGTAATATTAAGACACTGAAGAACTAATTCATGGGTTTTAGACTAAGTGATAGGAGTTTTTGCATAAGTAGGGCTTTAAGCCCAAAGTATATTTGAGTCTTAGACAGTTAAACATAAATTCATTTTCAGTCCTTTTGGATAACTTATAGCAAGTGAATTGTACTATTGCTTTTTTATAACTATCTCCTTAGCAGTTTGGGTGTGGACACTACCCCTAAAGTATATCATCTCCTATATTCTCTCTCTCTTCCTCCCTCTATCTCCATCCATTTCTTCAAACAATTTTAGTATTTCCATAATTCTGTTCTGAGGAATGCTAGTATCCTGCAGGAGTTAATTGTATTGTTAGAAAAGAGGAATCTATGGTCAAGTACATTTGTGGAATACTGAATTAAAGATTTTTTGTTGCTTTCGTCCCCCCCCCCCCCCTCCATTTCTATCTATTTCCCTTCCTCCTTTCCTCTCCTGCCTCCCCATTCCCATCTGTCATTCTGTTTTGTTTGTTAAAATGGTAGGCCTTCCTGTAATCTTTAATATGATGCCTATCCATTGTGGAGGAGCTGTAAAGGGACATTTTCTAAAATCATTTAAAAACAACAAAGTATGTATTTTGAGTTATAGAACCCTGAAAAAGGTTATCAGTGAATTATTTAGGGGGAAAATTTCTTCTTACTACAGTCAGTGATCTAGCCAAGAACTAAAATGGAATTTCAGAGTTGTATATGAACTTGAAGACTACATTTACTATACTTACATTTTAAGATTCAGTTGAATTTCTACAACTTTTATTAAAGACCATAGTTCTGTATTATAATTTCTGTTATAAGTATCTTATCTGGTTCTCTGTAGCAGTTGTAAGTAGCCAAAAAAAAAAAAAAAAAAAAAAGAATCTAGGATCAATATTTTATTAGCTATCATAAGTGTTTTTGATACATGGACACATTAGGAGAATAGTATAAAAATTATTATTGATTCTACAAAGACTCATTCTTTCTTGTACAATAATGGCATGTCTGGCAGTAACACCTGCAACGTATTGCTTATCATGTGTTGGTGTCAGATAGCAGGAGTGTGCATATGCATGATCTGGATGGTTTAATAATAAACAATGGAATACAAGGAAATCATTTCTTAAAAGTAAAACTTACTGATCTCTTGCTGTGAATTAAAAAGAACAATGTATGCAGGAAGCTCAAGGGGATAATGGAATTACTGTTCAGGTTGGCATTTAATGCCCTTAAATATTACAAGGAATTATTTAGGAACTAGTGGACCAGTGCACGGATTCATGCACATTGAAAGGAAAATAATTAGAAGAAATATTTCAATTTTGCTATTTGCCCTTTCTCTGTAATGAACGCTGGTCGCCATCTGTGGGGAGATGGGTGAGGTGATTGGGTCCCTGCTCATACCCGCCTTGACCTGGTGCCGCCCCCTCCCCTGCTCCGCCATTCCATCACAGTCCTGCTCGGTCCTGCTCTCGTTGGGGCCCATCAGGGCTGGCAGGGCCTCTGCTGCCAGTGCTGCGTTCCTGACACCCACCATGTTTTGCACCGCCCCTGGTGGTCAACGCACATCATAGCAAGTGGTCAAACTCCCGGTTGAGGGGACAGTTTGCATATTAGGCTCTTATTATGTAGGATAGCCAGTTCAGTCTTTCCCAGTATAGATGCAAGTTAGGATTATTAATCAGAATCAATTCAATTTATTACATAAGCTGACTATTAAAAGTGAATCTGTGCTTTGGTGTTACTTGCTCAGATATGAATCTATCTGAAGCTAATTTCATTTTGAGCCAAAATTTTGAGAAATTTCTAAATTCTATTTTAATTGAATTTTAGGAAATTTGCCAGATCCTGGTAAGGCTCAGGATTTCATGAAGAAATTCACACAGGTGTTGGAAGATGATGAGAAAATAAGAAAACAGTTAGAAGTACTTGTTAGTCCAACATGTTCCTGCAAACAGGCTGAAGGTTGTGTGGTAAGAAGAAAAATTTAAAAGAGCTAATGTTTGAAGAAACCCCCAAACTTTCTTTTTTGGTCCCCTTTTATAAAATTTATATTTTTCATGTAAAATTCAGAAAATGTCACAAATACAACAATATAAATAAATGATAATTTTTTTATAAAGACAGTTGCTGTTTATAGTATGGTGTATATCCTTCTGAAATAAATGCTTTGTTCATTTTACTTATTTTCATTACTTAGTCTTTTACAATAAGATATTTAATAGCAATAGAACATACCATTGAATATATTTATTGTAATGTGTTGAACAGTCCTCTGTGTTACATGGGTAGACTTTTCTCCCAGTTTTTGATTAAAGAACAATTTAATTCAGATCTTTATGGCTAAATAGTTTTACATAGTCTTCATTATTTCCTTAGGATAAATTCTGTATTGGTCAGTTTTGTTGTTAGAAATAAGCAAAACTTAAAAACATAGTTATTTTGATAGGATTTGTAATTCTTGCCTGCTAGTCATCTGACTTTTTTCTCCTGTGTAGTAGCCATTTATAATTCTTTTATACATTTTTCTTTTGTGTTTTTAATCTTTGCCTATTTAGCTAGAATATTTGTCTTTATTGATTTGTTATTCATGGCATTTTGTGTTAATTGAGCCACAAATAATTTTCTGTAAGTTGTAGTTTGTCCTTTCATTTTATGTTGTCCCTTACATACTTTAGCTTTATTTTTTAATTTAGATTTTATTTTTCAATTACAGTTTATATTCTGTGTTATTTTGTATTATTTTAATGTATATAGTATAGCCATAATTTTTTTTATTTAGCTGAGTCTTATCAGCAGTCTTCTCAAGGATTTTTCCTTTCGAGCCCTGCTTGTGAAATCTCATTCTGTTACAAGTCAATGAAAATATTGTATGACAGTTTTTTTAAATCCGTTGCCCATATTTTTTTTCAAGAGGCTATTAAAAAAGATAATTCTTGGCTCTATCCCAGATTGACTAAATGGGAATCTCCACAACAAGGCTCAGGAATCTGTAGCTCCACAAGCTCCCCTGATAATTGTGTTTGCTAAAGTTTGTATGTCTACTGACACTTGGTTTTATTCTTTTGTATTTGTTTTCATCCTATTAGAATATTTTTGCTGTAGGGTATGAGATAAGGGTCTAACTCTGCTTTTATTCTAAATGTCTGTTCAGTTATTTTGATATAATATACGGAATAATCTATCTTTTCCTACTTGATATGCTACCTTTCTTATATGCTAAATTCTTAATTTAGTTTTTTATTGGACTTGTTCAATTTCTTTTGATTCAATTTTTTTTAGTACCAGTAATACATGGTTTTAAATATGGTAGGTTCTTAACATTTAAATGTAATCATTTAAACATATGTTTGTAATATTTTTAACAAATCTACGTTACAGCGTGAAATAACTAAGAAGTTGGGCAACCCCAAACAGCCTACAAATCCTTTTCTGGAAATGATCAAGTTTCTTTTGGAGAGGATAGCACCTGTGCACATAGATACTGAATCTATCAGGTATTTGTATATAAAAATGTTAAATTTTTATTTCTGTACATTCATTCATGCTTTAGTAAGTCGCTGATGAGTACCTGCTGTACCAAGACACTCATCTGTATAGAGGTATGTATATACATAATGGCTTTATAGTCATCTGTATATACCTGTGTGTATATATATCCATATATGTGTGTATACATGATCATTTGTGCATATTTAGTTTTTATTTTAATTTTAAATATTGCTTTAATTTGTGTGAGAAATTACCAATCCAAGCCTAGTTTTTATCTGTTACTAGTGTACCAGGAATTCCTATTTTTTATTAGTGTGTGTAGATTAGGTAATACAAATAAATTGCTTTAATTTGTGTGATGAATTATTAATCCAAGCCTAGTTTTTATCTGTTATCAGTGTATTAGGAATTCCTATATTTTGTTAGCTTGCATAGATTAGGTAATACAAACAAGTATACCCTCAGGAAAAGAAAACCTGGTGAGCATATATTATAAAGAAACATACATTTTCACAGATATTTGAGAACTGGAGATACTAATTTTAAACCAACCCTCTTGTAAAGTTTCAGCTTTGATATCACTGTGATCTTGGAAAATACTTCTTTTTATTTTTATGTCTTTAATTTCCTTTTGTAAAATATGATAAGAACTTTTTTAAAAAACTTTTCCTAAAATGTTTCAACTAGTTAAAAAATAAGCTAATTATAATGTGTGTATAGCATACTGCTTTATTAGTCATCAGTAATATCTTTCAGAACTATATTAGAATCTAAAAGAAACAATACTAATGGTACCACCTATACCCAGTGAAGCCCCTTTGGGGACTTATTTTTGGGGGTGGAGGGGATAGGGTGTAACTTGGCCCATACTCCCTCCTGCCCCCCACAAAATAGGGAGGTCCTACTTTAGATATCCATTAGTTACTTTGAACTCCTGTTGTATCAATTTTCATTTGAAGAAGGGGTTCTGTGGTTTGAAAAAGAAAACAAAACACTAGAACCTTCTTCATTAGTGTGAAAAACAATCTGAATCAGACTGAATTGCATTAGTTAAATAATTTTGTGCCTTCTGTATTCAAAGCAATTCCAGTTAGGTATTGGTAAAACATACTATCTGCTTTTCATCAGCCTTCTGTCTAGTAATCTAATAAAGAATTTTAATCAGGAGATTATATTTTAGATCCATAAAATTAGTGCAAATAATGTCAGATGATTAAAAATGGATTTCTCTAAGGGGGTAGTATTTGACCAAAGAGGAAGAATGATTAAGATTTTTTTTCTACAGAGATGGGAAATGGAATATCCTAAGCATTGAGATTAATATAAGCCAAGCTAACTGGATTAGGAAAAACAAGGCTATTTAGAAAATGATTACCATCTGTGTAAACTACAGTTTAGAGAAGTATTAAAGTGCTTTGAGATGATCCTTAAAATGACTGGAATAAGACTGTGGAAAGCACTTAAAATCTACCTTTAAAGCTCTTACTTTTCTCTTTGTTCTGTTAGAACCATGGATTCTTGATAGATAGGAGGATGGGAGAAGAGATAGACTGCTAAAGCATTGTTGCACTTGTCTGTGGATGGTATTAGTGGGATGGAAAGGAAGAATCATATTTGAGAAAGATTTGAAAAGAACAACCTAAAAAATGGGTCATCAATAAAGATGAGGGAGAGTCAGAGGTAATAGGATTCAGGTCCAAATGATGAAGAGAATAGTAATGTCTTTAAAAAAAAATGAAAAGGGAGCTGGTTTTCAAGGAGGTGTAAGGAAGGTTGTGCTTCTTATTTAGACATGGCAAACAATTTTTGCAAAAAAAAAAAAAACAAGGTAAATTGAGTTTAATGTGAAACTGACTGGATTACTTCTCTGAGCAAGGGATTTTGTACGAAGAAAAGGATCCAAAGATCATGGACTGAATCTTGTGGTTTTAAAACAGTAGAAAAATTAGAGAAATGTAAGAAAATTAGGTTATTACAACAGCTTTCAACCCTTTCATCCCATGGCACACAAACTAATTACTAAAATTCTGTAGCACACCAAAAAAATATAGTTTTTGCTGATCTAACACTCAAAAAAAAATAGGTATAATTTTGATTCATTCACATGGGAGGGCTATTGTGTTGGCTATTGCCATTTTTTTTATTTGACATTCTAAGGCAGCTGTTCTCATCCTGTGGGTCGAGACTCCTTTGGGGGTCAAACGACCTTTTCACAGGGGTCGCCTAAGACCATCGGAAAACACATATATAATTACATATTGTTTTTGTGATTAATCACTATGCTTTAATTATGCTCAATTTGTAACAATGAAAATACATCCTGCATATCAGATATTTACATTACGATTCATAACAGTAGCAAAATTAAAGTTATGGAGTAGCAACGAAAATAATTTTATGGTTGGGGGTCACCACAACATGAGGAACTGTATTAAAGGGTCGCGGCATTAGGAAGGTTGAGAACCACTGGTCTAAGGGAAAAGAGTACCCCTGACTAATTAGTTAGGTATTGCATGTTTAAAAAAGTATTATGGCACACCTGTTGAAAATCGCTGGGGCATTGCAATATGTTGAAAATTAAGATGGAGAAAGTTTTCAGAAATAATGTATACCACAAATAGTGAGAGAGCCAAAAATAGGTCTTTAGCTTTAGCAATCAGTAGGCCATATTTAAAACATAAATAAGAATAACAGGTAGTAGCAGTGAGTGCTTATAATGTGCCTGGGATCATTCTAAATGTTTTACCTCATTTACTTCTTATAAGACAAGAAATATTATTATTCTCATTTTACAGATAAGGAACAGTGAGTTAAACAGATGTTGAATAACTTGCCCATTGCTTGGAAGTGGTGAATGGCATTTAAATCCAGGAAGTCTGGCTCCAGAGCCCTCTTGGTTAACCACCCCATTATAAATAGGCTTACAAAAAACTTCCAACTTTAGTCCCCACCAATATTCAGTGAGTGTCCAGTTCACCTAACTCTTCGAAATGGTGGCTATTAACCTTTCAGTCTGTCATTTTATAAGTATATAGGTGCTCTTTTATAATAAAATATATTACTGATAAAGTTGTACATCTCTGCTTCACATTTGCACTTTTTATTTTTCTATGAGGAGTTTGGAAGAATTGTTTTTTTTTTCTTATTAATTATAAGAATGCTTTTTAAAATAAGGCTATTAACTCAATTCAGTTGATGTTAAAATTTGTTTGACATTAAAAAACATTAAATTATATAATTAAATCTATCATTTGTCTTTATATTTCTTTCTGCCTTTGGTATTATATTAAGTGGTTACATTTTTGACTATATCAACTCCATTTATTAAAAAAAATGTATTCTTCCCCATTTGATTTTAAATGTTTCCTTATTATAGCATAAATTGATAGATGATTTGGACTATTATACATTTCACTTTGGTGTCTTTGTGTTTTGAGGCTTTTATGATGCATTTTTATCTAATTGACACAGTTCTTTCATTCCTCCACCTTAAAATTTATTAGCTATTACCAAATAATAATTTTTTCAGATGAGCCATAAAATGGGTTTATTGAATTTTATCCCACATCAGGTTATGTTCCCCTGAGATATTTATAGATTTAGTGAAAAATGTCACTTGTAATACTTGCTTTCATTTAGTCAAACTTCTTTCTGGAATGTCTCCCTTCTCCAACAATTCTGTTCTTCACCAAGTTCACTGAAAAAATGTCTTTGTTGTCTAACTAAACTTCAGTTTTCAACCTGACAACCCTTTCAAGCTGATACCTCAGCATGACAAAAAGCATCTCTCAGGCAACAAAGGAGAGAATATTTTTGTTGCTGGAGAAATCAACTATTAGCACAATTTTAAAACATAAAGTGGCCATCAAGAGCGCTAATGTTGCTAAAGGAGTGAAAGAAGTAATGATCACAGACTATTGAAGAGGTAGAAAAACTGTTATTGTTTTCGATAAACAAAAAGCAGTTAGCCAGTGACAGCATTTCAGAGTCAGTGACATATGAACAAGCAAAGATGCTGTATGCTAACCTGAAAAACACCCTGGAACGAGTATGAAAGTGATTTCTTTAAGATTAGTAGGGGATGGTTTGATAAATTTAAGAAAATAAGTGTTTCCTTATAGATTAAACAGTACATTAGACATGTACTGTCAATAAGAAAGGTTAAAACTAAAGAATCTGTGTGTGTGTGTGAGAGGGGGGAGGTGCCTTGAAAGGATTAATTCAATTTACATTATTTCTAATCTGGGGGAATTATTCAGTTTTAGAACAAATCACTTCTGGAATAGCCTTTAGAAACTAAGTTTCTGTATTTGAATCTGTATGCTATCGAGTATATATACAAATCCTATGCATTTAAAACATTTTATTCCTACTCATTTTATATATTTGACTTGCCATTTGTGAATAGATTTTTTTCTATATCTTTTTAGGTGACTCTGACTAATATAGAAAACACTGTTGACTAGTGAATGTTTTGTTGGTGTCATCTCACTGACTTTTATTCAATTTTTTAGTTGATTCTCTTTTGTTTTCCAGACCTATGGTTTTACTCACAGTTTTTTTTTAATTAAATCTTTATTGTTCAGGTTACATTTGTTCCTCTTTTTTCCCCCCATAACTCCCCTCCTCCCAGTTCCCACCCCACCCTCTGCCCTCACTCCCCACCCACTGTCCTCATCCATAGGTGCATGATTTTTGTCCAGTCTCTTCCCGCATCTCCCACACCCCTTTCTCCCCCAAGAATAGTCAGTCCATTCCCTTTCTATGTCCCTGATTCTATTATAATCACCAGTTCATTCTGTTCATCAGATTATTTATTCACTTGATTCTTAGATTCACTTGTTGATACATGCGTATTTGTTGTTCATAATTTGTATCTTTACCTTTTTCTTCTTCTTCCTCTTATTAAAGGATACCTTTCAGCCTTTCATTATAATAACTGGTTTGGTGGTGATGAACTCCTTTAGCTTTTCCTTATCTGTGAAGCTCTTTATCTGACCTTCAATTCTGAATGAGAGCTTTGCTGGATAAAGTAATCTTGGTTGTAGGTTCTTGGCATTCATCACTTTGAATATTTCTTGCCACTCTCTTCTGGCCTGCAAAGTTTCTGTTGATTAATCAGCTGACAGTCATATGGGTATTCCCTTGTAGGTAACTGAGTTTCTTTCTCTTGCTGCTTTTAAGATTCTCTCTTTGTCTTTTGCTCTTGGCATTTTAATTATGATGTGTCTTGGTGTGGTCCTCTTTGGATTCCTTTTGTTTGGGGTTCTCTGCGCTTCTTGGACCTGTAAGTCTATTTCTTTCACCAGGTGGGGGAAGTTTTCTGTCATTATTTCTTCAAATAGGTTTTCAATATCTTGCTCTCTCTCATCTTCTGGCACCCCTATAATTCTGATATTGGTACGCTTGAAGCTGTCCCAGAGGCTCCTTACACTATCTTCGTATTTTCGGATTCTTTTTTCATTTTGCTTTTCTGATTGGGTGTTTTTTGCTTCTTCGCGTTTTGAATCTTTGACTTGATTCTTGCGCTCCTCTGGTCTGCTGTTGGGTGTCTGCGTAATATTCTTTATTTCAGTTAGTGTATGCTTAATTTCTAGTTGGTCCTTTATCACAACATCGAGGGTCTCATTAGATTTCTTGTACATCTCATTAAGTTTATCAGCAGTCTCTAGAAGACTCTTGAAACACCTCAAAGGTGTGGTTTTGAATTCTATATCCAGCAGCCTGCTTTCCTCCAGTTCTGTCATTTGTGTCTTGTTTCTTTGTCTCGGCATTTTTTATGCTTTGCTGTGTCGATAGAGTGGCTTTCTGTGCTAAGTGTCCCAATTACCTGAGGTAGACACTCTTGGTGCACCCCCTTGTGGTCTTTGTGCGCAGTCCTGTTGTAGCTAAGCCTTGATTGTTGTAGGTACCACTGGGAGGGATTTGACCTCCAGGCCAACTGGCTGTGAGAATCACCTGTGTCTGCAGTGGGAGAACTTCTGTGCTGGATCTCTAGGGCGGTGCTAATCTAGCCTTTGCCTGAGGCTATCCCGCAAATGCCTCTGTGCAAGGCTTGGGCGGGGCAGGTCCCAGGGGATCAACAAGGCGGGCAGAGCAATCAGTTATGGCTGCTCTCAGTCCTGTTCCCAGAGGCTCTGCCTCTCAGTGTCCCAGCAACTGCTGCAAACCTCGGAGAGAAAGCTGCCCTTGTGTTCCGACCGATGCCAGACAGTCCCACTTCTCCCATTTGAGTCTGGGTCCCTAGATACTCGCCCAGAACTAGAGCTCAGAGCCTGAGACTCCTTCCTGATTGAAACAGACAACCGCGCCCTCAGCCGCCAGCCCGCTCCACGCGCACCTCCGCACCTTAATATTTCATTTCCACACTGCGCCTCCTCTGAGTCTCGGTATGCTTTTCTCTTTCCTTCTAGTTGTGGAATTTCCACTCAGCCAGCCTTCCTGTGGTTCTGGGTGATGTCCGTTCCGTCTTTTAGTTGTATTTTTGAAGTGGTTGTGCTTTCCGAGGCAGCAATCTCCGGTGTTTACCTATGTCGCCATCTTGGTTTTTCTCACAGATTTTTTTTATATGTCTGGCTCTTGTTCTTTGGGTTAGCTCAATTGTACCTCTTCAGAAATGCCTTTTGGTGAAACAACTTCACTTCTGGTCTTGGCCTTTGTTCTACTCTTTATTGTTTCTTAATTATCATTTTATGTATTTTTTTTATTTTTGGCCTTCCCTCACTTGACTGAGAGCATGCTTGTAGTCATGGAAGAAAATAACAAATTTAATTTTGGATCTGTGATATTTTTCATTCCCGTGGTACATCTAGGTAAAAATCCTTGGGGCTACTGAAAATATGGGAAGAGGATTCAGCCTGAAGATTTTTATTAGGAATAGTTGGAGATCTGACAATTGACTGATCAGAGAAAATGGTCAGAAAAGGAGAGAAAACATCCTCAAAGATACCAAGTTTTAAGGGGATGATAAATTTAAAAGGATGCTGTAAAAGACACAGATAAATTTCACTTCTAGCTTGTCCTTGAATTTTCAGTACCTAATATTTTTGTAGAAACAATGATCTAGCGAACATTGAATAATTGAACTTTTTTGTATTTTGATACATATTATATCTCTAATCTGATGTTTATTTGTGTTAATACCTATCAGGGTGACTAATTATTTTACATAATTGATATGCATTTATGAAATGATTATTTTAAAAATAACTTAAGCTTGTTTTTAGAAGAAAATTTTAAAACTTTCCTTTTTGATCTATTCTAATGTTCTAGTGAGGCTTTATTGGATATCTGTTACCTGTGTATTTTTACACCTTTCAATAGCAGGTTTGTGTATGTCTGTCTCTTACAGCAGTATTTGACACACAATAATATTTGGTAAAATGTTTGGAAGTGTTTAATGTTGTCATTTGTACATTATCTCCGTATATATTGTTCTATTTACTGGAGCAATAGTGAATTTTAGATAATTAGAAGAGAGTTATCATTCATGTGTTTGGGCATAGGCCTTCCATGGAAAATATAAGAATAAGAATATAGATAGCCTTAATATATAGCAAATCAAATAATACGGTTATCTCATTAGAATGGATAAAAGCAAATACTGTTTGAAAACAAGCATCTCAAAATATTATAGTTCTTGTTTTGCAGTAATGTCTGGGAAAACAAATTTGTATATGGTTGGGATGTGGGCTATGTAGAAATATTTAGGATTATTTTCTTGAGACATTGCTAATAAAGTACAGCTAATAATAACTATTTATTTGCTTATTTATTTTGGTCATACTTTAGTGCTCTTATTAAGCAAGTGAACAAATCAATCGATGGGACAGCAGATGATGAAGATGAGGGTGTTCCAACTGATCAAGCCATCAGGGCAGGTCTTGAACTGCTTAAGGTAAATTGCTTAGGTGTTTAAATTACTTAACTCTTAGACATATTTTTTATTCTTGAGATTTGCTTTTTACGTTTATAGAACCTAAAGTAAAATTTTATCGATCACTTTAGGTAATTTAGAAATTGTGTATTCTAATATATAAGCTACATATTTTTCGTTTTCAATTGTATATGGTAGCCTAGAATTAAAATGGTGGACTATAATTTAAAGGTTTCATTAGTGAGCAAAGCAGCTACTTATCTTTATCCCAGAAGGAGACAAATTTTTCCTAAATCTCCATTTTATCTTTTATTTTGGTAGCAAATGTACTACTCATTACAAAAATATACTCATTACAGAAATATTGGTTGTTGACAACTTAGAAAATATAAAATTATAAAGAACAAAAACATTCATAAGCCTATCAAAGTTTCTTTTATTCCTTTTAATCTTTGAAAATGCACATTTTTATATAGTTGAGATCGACTGAATATACAATTTTATATTTTGTTTTTCTTTTATTAAATTGGAAGCAATTTTTTAGTGTTTTTTTAAGACTGTGTTTTTTGTTTTGTTTTTTAATATATTTTTATTGACTTCAGAGAGGAAGGAAGAGGGAGAGAGAAACATCAATGATGAAAGAGAGTCATTGATTGGCTGCCTCCTGCCAGCCCCCTACTGGGGATCCAGCCAGAAACCCCGCATATGCCCTTGATAGGAATCAGTCCACAGGCTGACACTCTGTCCACTGAGCCAAACCTGCTAGGGCAAGACATTTTAAAGAGCGTCAAAAAACATCTGATTTTTGGCTCTCATTTAGTAGATTGACACTTTGGGGAAGTTAAAATTTGCCTCCGCTTCCTCATCTGTAATGCATGGTGATAATAATAGTACTTATCTTACAGAGGACTAAATTAAATCATGTATCTAAATTTTTTAGTGCTGCGTCTGCTTCATAGTAAAAAGAGTAAACATTTTTTGAAATGGTGATTGGTCCACTTTTGGAGTGTAATAGTGCTTCCAACTATTTCCCTATTGCTAGATATTTAGATATTTTTCATTTTATTCCTATTATCACTACTAAGATAAATACATCTAACATCTCTTATGTGTTTTTTGTTTGATTGTTTTTAATGCTTAAAGGGCATTACTAGTTCAAAGAGAATGACCATTTTCAAAATTCATAGTTTGATAGGTGGGTAGGTAGATAGGTAGTCAATTTTCATTACAGAGAAATCATGCCCAGTTTCTTCATACACATTAGCAGTGTATAAAGATGCATATCTCCTGTCTCCACAGACATGGAATATTATAAATTTTTAAGAAATTTCCTAATCTGATAAGAAAAAATAACCTTAATTTGCATAGTTATTACTAGTGAGGTATACCTTTTATATGTTAATCATTAGTGTTTTTCCCTATTGTGAATTCATTATTTTTATCCTCTGTTCATTTTCTACTGACATTTCATAATCTTTTGATTTTTGGCTTTTTTTTTTTCTTTTAGCTCATTTAAATGAGCTTTTTTATTTCTTGTGCTGTTTTATAGGACATTTTTGATGTCTATAGAATATACAGATATTCTATTTAATATATTCTATTTCAGTATAAAGTAAGTTATAAAGTATATTAGTAAAATGAATACCAGTGAAAAGTAAACAGAGTATCAACAATACTATTGGAATTCTGTGAGTGTTTTTTCCCCTCACTCACATTTCCTAGGTATAATTGTCCTCAATTTTGGGTTTATTATTCTCTTTTTTATATAGTTTTACTATCCCTATCTATGTATATGTCTCCAAATAATGTTGCTTATTTTGTTTGTTTCTGAATCTTAAAATTTGGCATTAGGTATAATATGTTTTTCTACTTCTTGTTTGTTTTTATAGTCCACATTTGATTCCAATTAAGCTTAAAAAATCGCATGATTTTAAGAGAATTTTATTTGTTTTTGTTTTTAAATCTGAAATGTAAACTATCTGAAATTTATTTTGAAGCTGTATATTTTGGAGGATGGTCTAATTTGATTTTCTCCCAGTATTACCAGGACTATTTATTAAAAAATCCCATCCTTTCTCATTTATGTTTTGTTGCCTTTTCTATAATGTATTACATTCTATATAATCTAAATTCTTACATATCCTAGGGTCTATTTATTGCTTTCCTTTTTCTGTTTCTTCTAGTGTTAACTACCATGTTGACTGATTATTGTAACCTTTTATTACCCGGTGTTTTACTTCTCTGGGTTACTTTATTTCTCAAAAATGTTCCTAGCTAGTCTCTTAATAACTTTTATTTAGAGAAATAGAGATATTTTGTTAAATTCTTTTGTCCCCTTCTACCTTTATTCCCCTTAAAAAATCAAATTAAATTAAATAAGCATTAACTGAAACTCATTATTTTAAGTCGAATTAAGTAGAATTATATTAGCATATAACTTAATTTGGAAAGAAATGAGTTTTTTAGATCATACAATTTTCTTACACAGGAACATTTCTGTTACATATTTGAGCATGTTTCAAATTTTGTTTATAGTGCCCTCATTTACTTGTTAGTGAAGTTAGTCTTGTATTTGATCTGTATTTTTAATATGTAATATTTTGGATTTATATTGTGGAGATGAAAGTGTTTACAGATCATTTTTATGACTCCTTATTTAGGTACTCTCATTTACACATCCCATCTCGTTTCATTCTGCTGAAACATTTGAATCTCTCCTGGCTTGTCTGAAAATGGATGATGAAAAAGTAGCAGAAGCTGCACTCCAAATTTTCAAAAACACAGGCAGCAAAATTGAAGAGGATTTCCCACATATTAGATCGTGAGTTGAGTTTATTCTGATAAATATTCTGGAATATAGAAAAATATTTTACTGTTCCTTGGATTATGTAATATTTGAAATATTTTATGCTTTAAGGAATTTCTAGATTTTTTTAAGTTTATGCTGTTTGGTTTAGATTCTCATTTTCTGGGGGAACCCATTGGTATTTTAGTTTTTATTTATTTCTTTATTTTTAATCCTCACCCGAGAATATTTTTTCCATTGATTTTTAGAGAGAGTGGAAGGGAGGGGGGGAGACTGACAAAAACACTGATGTGAGAGAGACACATTGATTGGATGCCTCCCTCATGCCCCCGACCATGGTCGGGGGCCTGCAACCGAGGTACGTGCCCTTGATTGGAATTGAACCCAGAACCCTTCAGTCTGCAGGCTGACACTCTATCCTTAGCCAAACCGGCTAGGGCCATATTGGTATTTTAGAAGATTCATGAAAATGTGGCTGAACCTGTAATTTCTTTCTGAAACATTAATTTTGCTTTAAGATTTTGACAACAATTTTATAGTAAAGTAGTCCCTTGTTATAGTGTGGCATAGAATAAACATATTTGAATTTGAGGTCTGGTGGGAAATTCCAAAGTAATTTCAGTAGGATTTCCCATTGCACTCTCCACTTTCCTTTATGATTTAAAGTTTTGGATTGAAATTTTTCAGAAGCAGTGCTGTATTTGACATAGGGAAGCAGGGAAGCATGGAATAATCATCTTAACAGCCGTATGTGTGTGAGTGTCCATCTGTATTTCTAAGAATTGTAAATTGCACTGTTACTCTATGGATCTCTGATAGTGGTTCTGTAATAGCTCAAAAGAATAAGTCTGTATTCTTTATGGACCTCTGCTTACTTTATATGGATACCTGCCTACTTCGTATGCATCTTTCCTCACTGTTCCTCAAGAGTATATCATATCTGATAGTTGGTCCTAATATCCTCATAGTCATTGATGGTTGGTTTTACCTCTACCTCATTACTTCTGGCTTAGTCACTGTCTAATTATTGTGGTTGGGGTAGCATACTTCATGTAGAATAATTGTACAGGCCGTTTCTTAAGCAAGAGACTGTGGACTGTCTCAGGTAAAATTTTTTTTTTATTTATTTCTGTTTATGTGAACTTAATTTTAGAAACTATTGGTAAATAAGACAAAGGCATTAAGTAAATGATCATTGAAACATACCAGAATGTTGTAACAGTATTCTCCTTGGAAAGAGTAATAAATTTTATGGTTTAGAGCTGACTTTGTAATTGTTAACGGAGCTTGGAACATGAATTTCCACTTGGAATGGTGCTGTCACTCTTCTATCCAGATCAGAGATCAAAGTGGTGAGGCAGACATGTGCACGCATGTGTACACACACACACACACACACACGTACACACACACACACTATATAAACTATATATAACTCTATACCATTTATGGAATGTCCACTTACCCTACTACCTCATTTAGACCTTGTAACACTTCATTAAAGTAGGGGAATTTCAAATGAGGAATCTAATGGTTCTAGCCTAGGTTATTTAGCTAGCAAGTAGCAGAGAGAAGATTTGAATGTCCGCCTGTTTATCTGTAATGCCTATGGTAACATATCTGTTATGGCACATTTCCTTT